TGTTAACTTCTACTAATATAAACAGCATGCATTGCAGTCAGTTTTCTCTTCTTTCCCTGTTCATTTCCAATGATCACATGGAGTAGCCTCATATTTTGTTGAGCCCTCAGTTACGTCATTGCTGCTAAAAGCATTCCCACTGCTTGGTGAAATCTGTACTGACAGCCTGCACATACTTCTGATAGTAAAGGCTTGCCACAAAAGTACCTATGACTCCAGCATATGTTTATGCTTTGAGATCAGCAAAAGTGTTTTTCAGTCCTAGCACAACTCAGGATGGCTTGGATCTCCCAGCAATACAACTGAGCCCTGACCCACCAAAGGCAATAGAAAGAACAGAAACTTCCCTTTTGTCAGGGAACAGAACTAAGGATTCTTCTTACTCACCCTCAAAAATGTTTTTATTGTTTCTGTGAAAAGCTTTAGTCTGAAGGAGAGTAACCTTTCATAGACCTGATAGTTTGGGCACTCTGTTGACATTTGGGGGTTTTACTCTTGTCAGGCAAAGGAAGGGCACTAGCATGTTTTCCATGTAGCTTGATTAGATCTCTAACTGTTGTACAGAAAGTCAAAGTAGCAGCAAGAATCAGTACTGCTATCTTTTAAAGCAAGAACTAATGTCTCCTGATTGTACAAACTAAGCACTTTGTCACCATGGTCTTTGGTATTTTTCTACTGACTGGCCCTTGGTAGCTCTCATATGCCGATTTTTGAGGATCTGAATCAATTGGCATCTAACTGTACCCACACAATGCCTATGTGTACAGAAGCCATCTGTGTGTTCCAGACTCCACTCCAGCAGCTTGTTACAGGTAGATCAGCAGTGCTGTACAGCTCAGATACACGGCGTCGGTCTCTGCCCTTGCAGGAGAACTGGGAGGTGCATCCCACTCACAGGTCAATTATGTGTAGGAATATGGCCCCACATCTCTCCATCTTGCTTGATTTTCATGAAATAATAAATAAAAGAAGCCAGACTCTACCAGCAGCATTTCTGCCATGGCAGAGAGAAGTCTGTGCAAGCTGATTCTTTCCTCTCTTTGGATTAGGGCTGTCATGCTGGAGGTTTTGCTTTGCTATCTGATCTGGCTTTCTTGGGTCTTACATCTCTGCTGCATTGCCATCTGCCAGCTAAAACTGCCCTCAAAGTCAGCCTTTGCCATGTTAAGCACTGCGGCAGGTCTCTCCACCTTTGAATCTAGTCCAAAATCTGTGTAGAGACTGTCTGCAGAAACCTGGAAATATTCTGTAAATTGAACTATGTGTGGTATAATTTTTAGTTGCAGCTAGATTGATTGTAAACCTTAAGTTTGAAGAAGTATCTGGGCAAAGAAACAATATATGCTCTTCAAAAATGAGAAGGGTGCCATTCACAATGTATCTGAAGGGCCTTTGCCTTTCTAAGCATCGCTTACCTAATTTGTCAATAAATCAGTGTGCCTGTTCAGTCTCTAAAAGAGGGGCTTTTTTTCTCTTAAGTATTATATTTAGAGTTTGTCTGGAAAAAGAAGTGTTTTCTTTAATTGCCTCCTCTAGAAGTTTTTCTTTTACTTCCTTTTCTTAGGCATAAGTCTCAGAAAAATGGGACTGTTTGCTTCCCTTTGAAGTCAGTTGTTACCTTTCACATTCTGTCTTTCTCAAGCACAATGGTGACATATTTTGGCAAATTTGTGTTGCTTTGGGCTCTTTAATCTGTATGTACTTTCCATAATGATATTAAAAGCAAAACCCAGTTTTCTTAAAACAGGAATTTAATTTCCTCCAAATACATTGCCCCATCTTCTGTATTAAATGCAATACACAGAAGGTGCACTGAAAGAGTACAGTCCATTCATGGAGATAAGTGCTCTTCTGAAATGCAAAACCAAGCCTGACTACTTTGATTTTCAAAATTCTGTCTGAACTAGTTTGCTGTTTTGCTTGACTTGGCTTCTGAGTGGATATTCTCCTCCTCGTTTATTTGTACCAACATTGCCAAAGTGTTTGTAGAGATTTTGAACATGTTTGCAATTTGTTGACCATACAGTTTAATGCCGGAAAGCATTTCTGCAATCAACATTACCACATTGCACTCCAACATTACACACTAATGCTTAAATGAGGCTTTTAATCATCACAAGCTGATGCTTTGCTTCAAGTCAGTGCTCCTGGTGTACGGCAATTTCTAGAACTTAAGGTCAGAAAGGATTACTAGATGAACTAGTCTTCTCCTGTAAAAATTCTGTCACCTTGGACTCCCCAAGGCACACAGTCATGATCCCTTTCATGAGATCAGAATAAGGATCTTCTCATATCAGGTCAAATGTCCACCTAGACAATCATCCTGCCTCACACATGGACCATAATCTAGTATTCAAAGAAGTGTGCAGCAGAATAAAAATGTGTATTTCTCCATGGGATACTACTTTACCACTTTATCTTCGAATATTAATACCCTGACCATTTTCCCACACAGGATCCTCCTAAGCTGGATGTACCATTTGTGTTTATTGTGTATTTGGTTGCCTTCTATGAATTTCTTTTCCTTGAGCCCATTCTTCATTTTCCCCATCGATTAATGTAAACTTTCAGTATCCACAATACTCTAGTTGTCCTTTTTTTCCCCTCAGTAGTGTGGATATATTGCTTTGTTTACATTTACACTTGGTTTGTTTAAGGTTTCTCCATCAGCCTAAGAAAGCCATCAGGAGGCAGAATTTTCGTGTGCCTACACTTGTGCACAGTCATCAAGTCACAGAGCAAACATACCAAGCCCTGAAGAACTGTCAGCACTGAATTTCTTGGGCTGACTAAGGCTTGCTCTACTAGTTCTCCAAGAAACTAGTACAAGCCACCTTTTCTCCAAAGCCATGGAATTGTGGCTGTTAGGGGGTGTTTTTGCTTGGGAGTTGGCTTGAGACTGGTGTACACTGTGTGGAGACAGAGTAAGCTTGTGTCTGGTCGCAAAGTGTTGTTGTGAGTCTCTCACTGAAGTGTTTTTTGTTTTTTTTTTTTTATATCTGTGAAATAATTTAGTACTTTTCTCTGTCATCACAGCTTTTTAAATGCTACTTCCAAAACGTAAAGCCTGGAACTTACATGCTTTCCTCCATTCATCCACCATGTTACGTTGCAAACCTACTAATGCTATAGAGGAAAGGTAACGTTTTCCCTACTGTTACTCCTTATTTCCCAGAATACACATTCAAGGACTGTGTTTATTCTTTCAGCTATAGCACCATGCTATAGCTTGGTAGCACTGTTCACTAAATGTAGCGTTAACTGTGCCCAGATATGATGGGCACAAACCAAACTTCAGTTTATCACAGACAGGACCACATGCTGTCACCTTATATCTAGAACTAGATAAAGAATTTTGCTGCATTCAGTGTAGTATTGCCATGCCATTATCTCCTGAGCTGTAGTGCATTAGTGAGAAAGACATCACATCAGCCCTAGAGTTTTTCTCAAAGGTAATCACTCAAAACTTGTTTCTGACTCTTCTTTTTTTGTTAGACTTTCTTTTATCTAAGACATATTGGAGAGGACTTGCACTTAATCTTTGCTAGAGTTTGCTTTTGTGGGAGTGTTATTTCCTTTTTCTGTGAGAACTGCTGAGAGACCCTGCTCCTCCCTAACTATTTCTGAGGAGTCTAAACTGTGGTAGGAACTCAAACAGATAGTTTCCTTTTTAGAGAGTGTTTGCCTCTATGGATATTACTGTAAGGAAACCTTTTCTCTGGTCACAATGACTGTTTAGAACTTGTATATTTTTAGTTTGGATTTGCTAGCTGTAATATCAGTCAGGCTTTTGATAATATTTTTATTATAACTTACTTCCTCTCTCTCTTCTTCCCTGCCCAGACACACACAGCCTTTTCTTCCTCAGAGTTTCTGATGAGGAACTGCTGCCCATGTGTGTCTTGTGTGGTCTATAATCATAAGCTGCATTTCTTAATTTTTTTTTCTTTATGATTTTATGAAAATTTTGTAGTTATGAGATAGAAACATGTACCTCTGTTACATGTTGTGAGAAAATTACAGGACCCTGAAAGGTCATAAGGAAGCTGCACAGGCAACTTGAGTGTGAATGCAGTACTACAGAAGACATACGTCCAGCAGTCAGGGCAAGACACTAGGATTGTATTGTAATCCTGGTTTTGAGCACTCCTAATTTTAAAAAAGGAAAAGAAAAAGAATTATTCTTCATGCTGTATTTCTTCAGGTGGCACATTGAAAGACAATTGTGTTTTTTTCTTACAAGCAGGAGGCTAATCAAATGGTTAAGATTTAGAGTTAAAATCTGTGGTAGGATCCAAGAATTCAATTGGTGCAAGCCCTCTCAGAAAAATGGCATCTTTATGCTCCAGATGTTTTCCCCATTTACAGAGAAAACATTTTTTTCTCCAGATTTCACAGATCTACTCAATGAGCAGGAGTGTAACAGACTGTTTTTATAAACATGCAAAGCACTCTTCACTTGACTCTGCCTCCTAGAAGATTTTGCCTTCTAGTCTGAGCTGGATGTCTTCACACTGGCCAGTGTGAAGTCATCGTTTAGTTTTTAAAATAAATACAAGGGATGTTTTTTCTCTTTTGATGATTCTGCCTCTTTGGATGCCTTAATCATCTCAATCAGATGACGCCCATATCCCAAGGGAATTCTCTACTGAAGTAAAATTTGGCAGTACAAATTTTTACAAAAGCATTTCCTGGACTAAGGTGGAGCAGAATGGCATTCAGTCATTTCTGAACTGGTGTGTCTTTTGGGAGGACAGCCTGCATTAGAGTTGCTTATGATAGGGAAAGCACTGCTTTTATTTACCCTGAGACTTAGTCAGAGCAGTTTTCATTTGTGAACTGCAGAGCAGTAACCCAATTCCTCCCACATGCGCATATTCCCCAGAGAAAGTGGGTCTTGCTAGAGCACAGGGTTTGGGTCAAAGCCTATTGGCACTGCACAAAAAAAAGTAAAGAGAGAACAATGCAATACAAGCATTTAATTGGATTTTATCAGAAGGACTGCCAAATGAATGCAGGAAACTTTACCTGCAGCTCTTCATTACAGTTTCTCTGTCAGAAAAACTACGCCTTCTTATCTATGCTGTTACTTGAGCAATGTCTCACAGCATCTGAGGTTGGGGCCACACATCCAGGATATTGTAATTGTGTCATTGCCAAGTCTGTAAATACAGTTCATGTTTGTTGGCAGCTCCTGTGTCCATTAACATTACATCATCCCTAGACCGAGCCCATGATAATGAAAACAGTAATTCAGCTTCTAACTTAAAAGTCCCCAGTATAAAAAGTGACATTAGTCCATAGATACCGTGTCCTGTAAACAGCTTGCTTCCTTTTCCACTACCTATCCTGTTTCTGAGTTTTGAAAAAAGTGCTAAAACTAAGTTTGTTTTAAGCTGAATGAGTTCGTTAGGGGGTCAGATTCTTCTGAATCAGCACAGCTATCAAGTATCTTCTGCAATTCTGTAACTTTTGAATGTTCTGTGTTGTTAGAACAGCAGTACAACTCTTTGATCACTGTAGATAAAAAAAGAATGGAGAAGTAGTTCAGTATTGTATTTCCACCAGCCCCTTTCAGCATCTTCCTGTTTTATACTAAATCTACGACCTTTTAACTCAGATCAGGCAAGTCGCTCAATAATGGGAAGGTTCCACAACTTCTCTGAATTGTTTTTTCACTTTCATCTTTGTGTAATGCCTATGTTTTGTTTTCAGATAGACAAAGGTGCTAAGATTGCTGGAGTGGTCACTGCTGTTGTTGACAAAAGTCCTCCAAACCCTCTTTCAGCTTTTCTAAATCTTCAGCTTCCCTGTAGAGTTCCTTGTTGCCTTAATTGCATGTGATACTTTGACTGAAGTCCTGTTCATGCTCAGCATAAAATTAAACATATTCTTGGCGGTTAGCTTTAGATATACCAGCAGGTCATTTTCTTCAGAATTCTGCTGCTTGCCATTAGGAAGCCATACCATCAGTCCTTCTTTCTCCTTGTGATTCCTCAGGAGAATGCTAATATACGTGTTTGTTACGACTGCGGTGGCTGGCAGCTTCTATCTCAATAACACTTCAGTGTCAAGTCAAACTTCTAAGCCAAGCAGATGTCTGAATGAGGAAAGGTATGATAACTGTGTTTAGGAGGATGTCACCCTTTCTTTTTTCTTTTTTCATTAGCTGAGAAAATTGAAACGATCACTTTTTTCTGGTTGCTGTTTTAACAACTTTGAATATTCTAAATGGTGATTTTCTTTTGAGACATAATGCAGGAAATACATCTCACCATACAGAGATATTATTAGTATTACAGTTACTGGTTTTGACTTCTCACATTTAGTCACCCACACTTTTAATTTTTGGTGGCACTCTCTTTCATTCTTCCTTTATAATTTCACTTGCAAAATCAAGCTGTAGACTGAGAGTTTGAAACTATCTGAAGCTACTCATTCCTTCCTGTAGCGGGAGAACATAAGTAAAAGTGGTGTCAAAAGTGAGGTGTTTCAGGAAAGGGCATAATATTGAGAGCAACGGGGGAAGGTATATTAGAATGCAGTGAATGTTCATGATTGTGGAGTTCAAGCTATCCAGAACTGTATCAAGATAAGGATTAAATATTGGGGAACTAAGCCCAAGAAAGAGCAGAGGAGACACAAAAATGTTTTAATTACTTACTTGTGTCACATTGTAGCAATTTTCTTAATATAACTGTACATCTGAGCTTGGCATTCCTGGTGTTTTCCTAGCCACCTCCACTGGACCTTTGTCATTTCACCAGTGTCAGTTCTTGAAGAAAGCTGATTATCAGGGCTCTGAAGGCCTGGAGCAAAAAGAAGATTAATCTCAGTGTCTACAGCATAATAAAATAGCATAAAACATGGTTACATAGTGAATTCAGTACTGTGAAGGCTCAATGACAAACATAATCACATCAACAGGGATGCTGCCCAGTTAAAGTTAATAATGAATCTATACATCTTCCACAGACACACCAAGTGTACACACAGATCACTGCATTTCTCATTGTCTATTTAAAGCTGCAGAAAACTCAGTAAAACCTGACCTACAGAGTTTGGGTCTAGACCGCAGGAAATTTGCCAGTAAGACTATCCGAAGTTCATACAATGTCATAAAAAGTTCCTAAGTGTCAGATTTTTTAACACCAAGATGAGGAATACAAAGTTTGTGAAATCTGCTCATTCTAGTAAGGAATATGCAAATGCTACTGAAACCTTGTTATGGTCTCAAAGTCTCAAGTGCCCAGAAATCAAACATCAGCATTGATTCAGTCTAACTGAATGTGATCAAATGTAGAAAGCACTTCACAGGGAAAGTCCACAAAATAAAAACCCATAAGAGAAGACTGATACTACCATTTAAGTATAGTTTGCATGTGCAAGTATGGGCTTCTAGGTTTCATGTACATGTCAGGGGTTTCCAGACAATGTCAATTACCAATTATGCTTTCAGTAATTTAAAAAAAAAATCAGAAAGTTAGATTTTCCTAATATTAATTTAGTAAGGTAAACGAATCATCTCTGCTGAAAGAAAGTCACAATGCATATTTTACATAGAAATTAGTGTTCCTTGAGAACTGTGAAAAAACTGCTAGCAGGGATTTGAATGGAAATAATAACCTCCTTAAACATAGAATCAGAGCTGCAGATACTTATTAAATGAAATCAAGTACATTTGGACAATTTTCATGTGTCATTCATCAAAACCTAAACCAAGCCTGGGAAATTCATAAACAAACATGTGGCAAACAAATGGCACTTTTTTAAATTCTAAAAACTACATTTGTGAAATCACTGGGTGGTGATTGTGCTGACGGGGACTAACCTACTTGCAGCCATGCCCTGTAGCCTGCCGTTTCCCAGAAGAGACTTCACGTTCTAATTATCAATTGTGATTTTTTTGCTTGTTTCTGCTTTTTATTAACAGAAGCTGTAAATCTTTCAGACTTAGGAAATCCAATTTACACCTTGCTAATGCATTACAGCTACATATGCTGCTACATAAGTGTGAAATTGCTTGTCCTAACAACAGAAAAAATCCTTTCTTTTGTAAACAGAATTATTAGCATACTTATTGTCCCTTTGAGATACTCTAGATATCCTATTAAAGGAAGCACTGCTCTAGTAGTCCCAAACTTCTGAGTGAATAGAGAATGTGTCGATTTTAAAACTAATCAGCTTTTTACACTTTCTTTTAAACAGAGGGAATGCATATAAGGAGCTTCATATAAGAATACTTCACAAAGGTCATGCGAAGACAAACTTGACTAGTGGGGAATCGCCTTCCAGAATCAATTGCAGCCTCAGCCTTCCACTGAAATAGTTGCACAAGGTGAATATTGTGATAGTACTCCTGAGTATCTGCCTTTTAAGGACATTTTTGCTCGTCACCCAGCACAGAGTAGGGACCAGTTGTCAAGAAAAGGATACAGTGCCTGCAACTGCTTAAAGTTTTTGCACAGCTTCAGGAAAAACATAATTGCTTTTCAGGTTGTTGTGGTGTTCATCGGGGCGACCCCCCGTCCCACAAGAGAGCTCAGGTTTTCGGGGGCTGAGCTACCGCAGTTAGCCCCGGGCAGAGGGAGGCGGCAGAGCCGCAGGGTGGATCCCCCGGGGAAAGCAGAAGCAGAGGTTTAGTCCCGGAAACCAGAGACGGCCCCGCCTGCGAGAGCAGCGGCTCCCAATATTAAGCTGGAGAAGAGGGGGGAAAGGGGAGGAGGGTGAGCGGAGGCAAGCACGGATGCTGAGTGCTGTTGTGTGTCCCCCGCAGGTGATGGCCGCCCCGCCGCGGCCGGCAGCGCTCCGCACAGGCTCGGCGCGGCGCCGCCAAAGGTAGCGCGGCTCCATGGAGGGCTCCTTGGAGGGCAGCGCGGCCCCGGAGGAGGAGAGCGGGGCCGCGAACGGCGCCCCCCCGCCGCCGCCGCCGCCACCGCCCACCCCGGCCGCCCCCTGCGGCTTCAGCTCCTCCCTCTGCTTCAGCGCTGCCGCCGCTGAGCCGCAGCCGCCCGCGGCCGGCGGCCGGGTGGTACAGAGCCAGTGGGAGGTCAACAACGCCGCCTGCCAGCCGGAGGAGGACGATGAGGAGGTGGTGGGGCCGCGGGACCGGCCGGCAGAGGAGCCTGACCTTGTGATCGAGGTGTCGGGGCGTCGCATTCGGGCGCACAAGGCGGTGCTGGCGGCCAAGAGTGACTACTTTCGTGCCCGCGCCTCCCGGGACGTCCTGCGGGTGAAGGGGGTGAGCTACGGGGCGCTGCGGCTTCTCATCGACTACGTGTACACGGCCCGCATGGGAGAGGTGCGGCACGACAACCTGGCGGAGGTGGTGAGCGGCGCCCGCGTCCTGCAGATGCCGTGTGCCCTGCACTGTGCCGCCGAGGCCATGCGTGCCCAGCTCTGCCTTGGCAATTGCTACCAGCTCCTCTGCCTGGCCAAGAAGCAGCGGCTGGCGGAGCTACGGGAGGCTGCCTACCGCTTCATGAGCGACCATTACCTGGAGGTGCTGCGGGAGCCCAGCGTGTATGGCCGCCTCAGCGGCACTGAGCGGGACCTCATCCTGCAGCGGCGCATGGAGGCCGGCCGGCCCTGCCTGCTGGTGGCCGAGGTCAGCGATGCCTTCGAGCGGCCGGGTGGCGGCAGCCGGCCACAGAGCCGCGAAAGCAGCCGGCCGCAAAGCCCCTCCTCCGTGGTGTCCCTGGAGGAGAGTGGCTCCCTCATCCACTGCTACCAGGAGGCCAGCGGCGAGTGGAGGGTGCTGACACGCCTGCCCGAGGAAGCCAATGCCAAGGGCTGTGCCATGTGTGTCCTCCACAACTACCTCTTCCTAGCAGGGGGCATCGTGACGGGGCCGGTGGGCAGCGAGCCCAGGGCCCGCCTTTCCGACAAGGTCTTCTGCTATAACCCCCTCACTGACACCTGGAGCCAGGTGCGGCCGCTGGCCCAGCCCCGCTCGCAGCTCAAGCTGCTGGCCCTGGATGGTTACCTGTACGCTGTGGGGGGTGAGTGCCTCTTCACTGTGGAGAGGTACGACCCACGGGCTGACCGCTGGAGCCCTGTGGCACCTCTGCCCAAGGGTGCCTTCGCTGTGGCTCATGAGGCCACCACTTGCAATGGGGAGATCTATGTGTCAGGAGGCTCCCTCTTTTACCGCCTGCTCAAATATGACCCCAAGCGTGACGAGTGGCAGGAGTGCCCTTACAACAGCAGCCGCCGGCGCTCAGCGGACATGGTGGCCTTCAAGAGCTTCATCTACCGCTTTGACGTGAGCAGTGGCCGTGGTGGGGAGCCGGGCCCAGGTGGTGGGGCCGCTGGTGGTGTCGAAGTTTTCCGGTACAACACAGTGGCCAAGTGCTGGAGCCAGTGCGCCAGCCTGCGGCCCAGCGGCAGCCCCATCCAGCCCTTCCGCTGTGCCCCCTTGGGCAACACCATCTACTGCGTCAACCGGACCGGCACCCTTCGCTTCAGCCTAGCCCAGGACGGCGAGGTGGAAGCGGATGGTGGGCTCAAGGGCACTTTTGACGGGGAGCTTCTTAAAGCTCCCTTGGATGTCAAGGGTGTTCTCCTACCCTTTGTGCTTACCCTGCCTGAGAGGCTGGACAAAACAGGGGACCAGGAGGGCTCCCTCCCACTGTGAGGTGGTCAGCCTGGCTCTGGCTTCCTGAGAGGGGAGCTGGGTTGCAGCTGTGGGAGACCCACAAACTCCCACCTATAGAGGGGATTCCCCCTGGTGAGTCTGCAGAGAAAAGGGGCTCCCCCTTTCCTCCTCTCTGCTCCCAAGGTTTTGAGCTGGTTGTAACTCTTCTCATGTTTGCTGTGCTTTGTGTGAAAAGCCAAGCACATGAAAGTAAAAGCTGCTATACTGGATAATCTCTGGATTATGTTTGTGCCAATTCCCAATCTGAGAAAAACGTTTTTACACCTGGATATATAAAATATTCCTGACAACAGTGTCATAATGGGACTTAGTGTTGGTTGTGTGTTTACGCATAGTTGCAATCTGGGTTGGAGCCTTTTCTACTGTTTGGGTTTTTTCTGTCTAGGATGATACTGAGGGGTAAACATAGTGTAGCTGAATTTGTTTGTATGTTAAACCAGCTATTTCCTGTGTCAAAAAAGTATAGGAAGAACGTTTCTGTCACAGCCTTTAATTTCTGGTGCAATAGATGGTTTAAGGAAGATGTGGCACTGTGTGGTCCCAGGAATTTCAACCACAGATGATTTAACATATACCAGACTTAAAGTTTTAAGTAACAGAAATGAGTGCCACATGTTTTACTTGGAATACAAAAAAAAAAAAAAGTCAAGTTACCTTTTTAAAATGTGGCATATTATAGCACATATGAAATGTTGATATGTTCTTTATTTGAAAAAGGCAACGGTTTCTATATAAAAAGACATTGTTTTATTAGTTTTTTTAATCAGAGATTTTAAATTACAACAAAAATGAACTGAAGCTGTTCAGACTGCAGCCAACTGATGTGACCATGTATGCCACTAGAGCTGGGGAAAAACTTGGTACTTCATCTGCTCTTTAATTAACTGCAGGTCAAGGAAGGTTAACCTAAACCAAATGTAAGTTCTTTGAAACTGACTGTAAACAGCTTAAATGTTTCACTGTATGTTCAGTATCCTGTGGCAAGAGGCTTTTCGAGCTTGGTTCGAGACCATCAAAGGAGGACATGGAAAATAGGAATGCGCAACACATGTCGATTATATTGTGCACTAGCGTGATGTTACCTCCCTATCTTTTGATTGAGAGACTGCTTTATTTATTTTGATCTCATGATTATTGTAATCAATAAGTCCTTGTTAAATGCAGTACGTGCTGATAGCATACGCTGTCATCATGATTCTAAGCTTCCCAAGAGAGCTGTTTGTGGAGCAGCATCCTAATGAGACAAAACCATACAAAGCTCCTTCTTGCCTGTGGGAAGTTGTCATGTTACTCAGAACTGGAAAAGAGTAAACTGCCTACATAGACAGACTATATTGAAAAGGACACATGCATTTATTTTATACATTTTATATTGCAAAAAAATCAGCAGGCAAGGCAAATGTTTTAGCTTTATGGTAAATCACTGAGAAACCTTTTCTGAAAAAAGGAACTTGTGTTTTTGCTAGTACATCACTGTATACTCAGTGTGGAACTGGTGTGGACTGTGGAAGAGAATTGTTTTTACTCAAAGTTCTTATATAGATTCATATTTTAGAAAGACATAGGGACCTTACATCAAAGAAAGCAGATTTTTTTATGTTTTATTAAGATGTTTTTGTTAAACAGGACTTTAGCATTCTTATATGTAATTGCTAGTTCCAAAGGAAGACAGCAGGCTCTGTCCTAAGAGACACCATCTTTACAAAAGAGAGTAGTGAAGTTTGTAGATACTTCTTTTGTTCACTTAAATTGTTTTTTCTTTTCTCCTTCTGTCTTGCACAGGGTTTTAACACAGTTGATCTGGTTAGCCATGCTATAGAAAACAGTGGTCCAGTCTTAGAAGTTCTTAGCCTAGTGAGCCTATTCCCAAGTGAAATAATTAAAGCATCAGCCGGGCAGGAGCTGTAGGCCTGCAGAGTGTGATGTTTATCTTAGCCTCAGTACAGATTGGTGCCGTGGAATTTAATACCATTCATGGAGTGTTGGATTTAATTCTCAGACAAGAATCCTTGGAAATGTTGACTCTAAATTAAATTACAGCATTGTAGCTTGAGCAGGAAAGAAAAAGTATGTGTTTGCCTTCGGCATAATTTTTATGTTAACTATAGAAAGTATTTCAAGCTGGGTAGTGAAACACTTAGGTGCATACTTACACTTAGCATAAGTGCTAGGCCAGATTTTGAAATAGTAGAGTCACCAGGAACACTCACAAGGAAATGTCTGTTTTATCTTGCAATACAGTACAATTTCATAGTTCAAAGTATTACGTAGTATAGTTCCTTTACTACAGCATAACGAGACATTAAGCTAGCTTTTGCATTTCTATTAATTAAGCATTAATTAAGCACTTTCATTCCTGCTAATGCATGAAGATGCTTTTAAACGAGTTTTGGGAAGTCTCCATGATTTAAGCTGTGAAAATAGCTGCGAACTTTCGTGAAAGAATGAACCATATCCTTTCTTCCAGTATTTGTTGCTGTACGCTATGAAGAAATACATTTGGAAATAAGTTCTACAGTAATAAGCATTCAATGAACCTGCAGTGATTTGTATTTTTGCTAGGTCCTATTTTTAGGAAAGGTTGAATCAAGTGCTTACCTGCTTTCACTGTTTACACAGTGTCAGTGGGGGCAGTCTGGGCTTCATTAGCAGCTGTCTATCAAACCTGTTTCCTTTGTACACTCTGCATAGTCACAGCCCGATGATTGACAACAGAGGCATGTTTCTAGCCAGATTTCCTACTCTGTGGCCTCTGTTTCCTCCCTGGTAAGCCTGAGGCAGATTTGCTGAGAGTTGTTTTTTCCCCCAATTATATCTTCACCCAAACAACCCCACCAAACTTGGGCACAAAAACCAGAATTTAGGTAATCTTCAGGCATTTGAAGACCAGAATTATCATCCCAGAACTCTTCAGTTTAATTTAAACCTAGCCCCAACTGTCCCTTTGACATGTAGAAGTGCTGAGCAGTTCTCCTCCACTCACTCAGAACTGCCCACCTCGGAGCAGTTCCACACCTACCTAAGGACCACCTCAACTCCTTTGAAACTAGATGATGGGATACCTAGAAGCCACTGATCTAATAGGGTTTTATGGTACAGATTAAAGGACCAGGCCACCCTCAAGTTGCATATGTTTTGCTTTAAAGACAAAGCTGTTTTATCTAGAGTCACCTGAAGGCTACTCTGTTTGCATGGGAACATGGAGATCTGTGTGTGCTTTCTTAGCCTGCAAGCATTCAATCCACATCTTCCACTGCCTCATTATCAATGGACTAAAGGACCTCTTGGAGCTAGTCCCTGATCTCTAAATATTTATGCATTTTGTATTGTATGTTAATTGGCTAAAAAATCTCACAAATTATCAAGGTAGGTAAATTCAAACCCTCATCCTCACTGACGAATTGGAGACTAGCCAGAGAGACATAGTTTGCTCTGTCATCTTTCTTCTCCATGAATATTCCAGTCCTCCCATTTTAGTGGGACATGCAGGAGATAATTTTTCTGCTCTAATTTTTTAGGCAATAATTTTTCCTTCCTACAGTACTCCCGTTTTCAAGGTCATCTGCTTGAGGATTTAGACTTGAATTCCCTTAAGCTGAATAAGGGCTGAAGTGAGGCCTTGCACTTCACGTGTGTGTGTGTGCGCGTTTGCATTCTCAGATCTAGTTGACTGTTGAGAAGAACTGTATTGGGACCACTTCCTGGGTTCTTTTTCAGGGGTGAGCTTCTTGCAAATCCTCCAAAAGCACACACAGGCTCCTGCACATTGAGTTCTGGGTAAATTCCAGGCTTCAACTCCTGGGTGGGTAAATCAGGACAGATGTAGTAAATGTTTGCACAATTGGGCAAGTTTTCTTTGGAAAGCTTTTGCAGACAGGCTCTGTATTTTGGGTTACCAGTCCAAGGTGAGCTACTCCATACACTGTACTG